TTTGGATATTTTAATTCTTTCCAATTAATATAAACAACTAATTTTTTTAATTCAAAAAGTCATTAAAATTAATGACTATTTAAATTGAAAATATTATTTCTAACAATTATAATCATTAATGAATCTACATCAATATCAAGAGGATAAGTACTTACTCCTCAGAATCAAAATTTTAAAACCAACTTTTTTGCTATTCCTTAATAATTATCTATCAATTCTAAACAAAAAGAAAGATGTATTAGCGAAAAGAATAACTAACTTATGTATTTAGAAGCATAAGTTTTATTCATCAAGCAAATTTAAGGTTAGACTTGAACTATATATTGATGGAATATGATGATAAGGAACCTATAATCTTAAACAATAATGAGGAAAGAACAAAGCCCCTGATGATTTATCTTTCGAAAACTATTAATGGAATCTTTCCAAGTAGAAAACCAATTTTATACACCACGTCATTGGATATTTAAGGATGAGTACATATTTATCTTAACTAATGGTAGTTTGATCAAAGAATATCTTTTAAAAAAAAAAAACATATATATAATTATTAGTCTCTTAATTACTAGTCCAAGTAAACTGGAAGTTGAAATTGTTTATATTATTCTGAAACTGTACGTAATGAAATTGTATTCTTAAAAACCAAGTCAAGTTATCTTGTAACAAAGTTTAAAAAACCTTTCTTCAAATAATTTTAGTCGTTTAGACAAAACCTTTAAAAACTTTTTTTTTTTACAAATGATAATCAGCAAAAAATATAAAAATAAGGCTTATTAAGGAGTTTTTTATAATATCGGTTTGCAGAAGCAATTTACAGAAGATTTACAGAAGATTGACAGCTTTAAAATAATCTAAAAAAAAAGCAAAAAAGATAAAGACAAAATCAGCATGCATTATATGCGAATTAATTATTTAATACGTAAGAGAAATAAGACCATACACCAAATATTGAAGAGTACAAAAAACAATTATAAAATCCTCAGCATAATTAAACTTATAAACTAACATATCTTTATTCAACAAATCAATAAGCAGTCAATTGATAAAGAGCTCTTTACAACCAAAAGAGAATTATGTTGATAGCCAGAATTGAAATTCATAAATTGTGGATAATCTGGTCATTAAAAACTAAAGTATCATATAATAATCAGATTCATTAAAAGCATATAGGAAAAACGCAATACAAGAACAATAATTACAATTCATGAAGAACTTATAGAAATACGAAATAAGATTTTTTTAGGAAATCAAGTACTTTGTAATTATGTATCAACAAAGGTCTTAAAATAAATCTGATTATTTCAAAATTTGTCAATTCTTGTGTGGGATTAATGATGAAGAATTTTACATAATTTTTATTGATTAAAAAAAGATTCGATGACTCATTTTCAGTATTAGGGGCCTCTGGTGATGTTCGGTTATTGAAATCTATAAACATCTTCTATTTCAATTAAAAAGAATTTTTATTCTTAATTCTGAAGTAATATATAGAAATATACTAAAATTTTTATATATTATTAAATGATAGAATTATATGGGATTATGATTTTGATAAATAAAGGTTGAATAAATGATACATAATTACATTAATTAATTTAAATAAAAAACATGAATATCTTAAATCAAAAATAAGTGTAGGAAAAATAAGAAACAATATGTAAAATTCATAATCTAGAATTGATCGCTGTTGACTTTGACTTATCAGATAAATCATAGATATAATTCTTTTGTGGTAAATGCTTAGTTGAGAAAATGAATAACAATAAAGTGACTACGATTGAGTAATCAAAAGAGAGAATCTAATTAGTGAAGGCTTAATAAAGAGATATCAAAACTAAAGAGAATCAAGCAAGACTAAGCTATTATAAAAATATATTAGATTAAATTATGGATTTCAAATAATCAATAAATGATTCTTTGGAGAAGATGTACAAATAAATATAATAATATATATATCCAATTTAAAAAGAAAAATAAGAAATATAAGAATATGAATAATAATTAAATTACTTTGAAGACATAAAATAATTGTCTGAATTATATTCTTAAGAGTAATAGAAATCACCTAAATTAATAGAAGATAATCATTTCATCAATGAAATATAAAGATAATTTGAACTATTATTCAATAGTTCTGAATACTTTTAGACATTAGATACATTTAAAAATACAAAAGAAACAATTAAAGATATTATGGAAAATAATGTTATTGAGTTAATTCCTTAACTTATCAAAAAAAATGATTATGTATAATCTATTTAATATTTATAGAAAACACCAAGTTTAAGTAGAATTTGCAGTAATCATAAAAAGGAAATTATTATGATTGATATGGATTCATCAACCAATAAAATTGAAGATAGATTTGCATGTGTTGACTGTATATCTGAAAATCCATAAATAAAATATTAAACAATTGAAAATGTGGATAAGTAATGGAAGGAATATAACACAGAAACTGAAAGGATATGTATATAATATAAAAATGAAAGCAAAGAAAAAAAGTCTGAATTATTCAATTAATTAGCTCATATGAGAAAGAATTATAATAAAAAATTGAATGAAATAAGTGATAAATTGATTACAGAATAATTTTTATCCATTGTTAAAACTAAACAATCTAATTAAATAAAAAAGATTTCGATTTAAGCATTAGATGATGAATAATTATTGAAAGATTTGAAGTAATTAATTGAAAAGGAAAAAGAAAAAGTATAATAAAGTTAAATAATCACAAATTTAAAAAATAAGGATTAGATTTTCAAAAAAGATATTTAGTATCATTTAGAATCTTTGCAATAATATGACCAATAGGATATTTAATAATCATTGGATATATTAAAAGATATTTCAAGTATCAAATTTAATAATCCTTTTTATAGTTGAAAAAAATTTAATTATCTAGCTGATTGATTTGATCTAAGAAATGTAAACATGTGCATAAAAAGATGAAAACTATAAAAACTAAATAAATTTTATAAAAGAAATTTAAGAATTAATTGATTAGGCAAAAAAATATCAATGCCAATTAAATCTATTTGATTAAACTATCACCATTTATTAATAGCATGTTTAGAAGATAGAATACATTTAATAAAATATATAGATTAAAACTTAAGATTAAACAATTAAATCAGAATAATTAAAGTCTTAATATTCTAAATTATAAAATATTTTGAATGAATATTCAAATAAATTTGATAATAATAGTGTATAATTGAAAAAATATTGTACCATTAAATAATTGGAGAATGACATAATAAAATTAAATGAAGCTTATAAAAAATTAGAAGTTGAAAGTAATGCTTTATAATATTAAATAGAAAATAATTTTATTAGTTCTTAGGAATAGTAATTTGAGTAGAAACTTAATGAGATAAATGGAAAGTTATAATTAAAGGAAAAAGAATAAAAGGATATCATAGAATAATATTAATAAACAATTTTAGATAATACAAATGTTAAAAAGTAATATGAATTAGATAAGATGGCAATTATGAAGAAATTGGAAGATGAATGTAATGATTTTGATTTTATTCCTTAGAAAACAAATTAAAATAGGAATTTAATCAAAATTTAAGTTAAAAAGAATCAGAATTAAAAGAAGCATTAAGTAAACTTGATTAAATTAATAAAATTAAATTAGAATAAGAAAAATAAAATAAAATTGAATTAGAAAAAGTATTATTATAATCAATTTATTATATTATTTTTAGATTCAATAATATAATAAATCATTATCATTTTCAAATACTTATAAACATAATAATTGTGAACTAAGTGAATGTACAAAACTTGTGGCAGAAGTTGCTAATAATGGTTACTTTTTTTGTCTTTGTGAATAAGCAATTCCAAAGACAGGAAAAATATAATTTGCATTTTAAATACTTAGTGGATCATATTTTCATGTTGGAATAGGATTTAGAGACATTATGTAGAAAAATAATTATTAGGATTGTTATTAAACTGGGTATGGGTATATAATAATATTATAATAGAACATATTTAATAAGATAAGATGGTTATACTTATTCACATCATAACAAAGATTTATATCATAAAAAATTATCTTTCTAATTTACAAATAATGATATAATAATAATTGAAGTATGTATTGAACATAAATACATTAAATGGAGTAGATAGAATAATTCATAAGCAACATTTGTTGTAAATATAATATCGATTAATAGTAGTTGGATATAGATACATCATAAGAATTATATCCATGTGTGGGTGTTGCGCATAATTCTAAAATAAAATTATTGGATAATATACCAGTTTGATATGAATGATATAAAATATATATATATCATTTAAAATAAATAAATATAAGAAGTGAAGTAGTTATATTTTTAATAAAAGTAGATTTTAATTATGATTTCAAATAAATAAGTAATAATATTATGATACTGCCTAAAATCAAGATGTCATCAAAGCAATTAAAATATATTGAAAGTATTCACCATTTAAACTCATTTTTGTATCTATTCAGATCAAAGAAACTTAAATTTTACAAGAATTGAAATTTTTTTTATGTTAAATTTCTGAAAAAATAAATTAGGGCTAAAGAGAAAAAGATTAATTTAAGGTTTTTGCTTAATTTTATCATTCGACAACATTTTTGAGTACTTTTTTTCATTTATTAATACAAAAGAAAAAGTTCAAAGTAGAAAGAAATATCTAGCCTAACCTTTTTTAGTAAATTTCTATAAAATGATTATAAAAATTATAAGAGTGTAAAATTGAAAAATAAGACTAATTCCAAATTAATTTATATTTACTTTTTTCGAGTTTCAACTATTTGCTTAGCAAAACCAAGATTAATTTATTCACATTTTTTTTATGAATATTACTCGGTATACTTTAAATATCATACAACTTTTTCTCATCTACCTATATCAGAGAGAAAATGAATGCTCAATTAATTAAGTGAATAAATTACTCAGTAATCACACCACACAATTATTAAAAAAATAATAAATAGATAGATTCATCATTATCTAAATCACTAAAAAGAATAATAGTAAATATCTTTTTCAGAATTCTCTAGAATCAAATGAGACTATTCATTATAAGGAAGAAGGATAATTATTATTTATTTATATTTATAAAAGAGTGGTATTACAATATGCAAGAAGATTCTCTACTGAAGATTCCTTTATTAAAATCGCTTAAAAATCTTATGCTTACCTTAAAAGATCCTGATTAAATATAGGATAAAGGTATAAGTTTTATATAAATAAATAGTTCTAAATATGTAATAAGACAAAGATAAATTAATTATATATATCGATAATAAGGTTTGATTAATAGGATTATTTTGCAAAGACTCAAAGTGTTTAGATCTTATCATCAATGCTTCTATAAGCTAGATATCTCGAAAAGAGAGGATAATTTGTTCGATGTTAGACTCTGTATATTATTATAATGATTTCAAAAATTAAAGCTACTTTCGATTAAATGAAATTGCCTTTTGACTATAATGATCCAACATCACTTAAGTTAGTTATTATCTACCCTAACTATAGAATAATATCAATCTAAGAAATCACCACATATAAATAAGTTTTTGAATCAATTTAAAAATAAAAATTATTAAAAAAGAGATAAAGTGTAATTTAAATAGATGAACTAGAGGAACAATATTTGTAATTTAAGTAATTGTTGGCTTTCTAAAGTTTGATTTGTAGAAATATTTTTAATCGTAAGATCTAAGATTCAAAAATATTTTTTATGTGGAAAATCTGAATTTATTTGATGGGCATATGTCAACTTGAGTATTTATGATCCATAAGATAAAAAGGAAAAAGATTTATTTTTAAAAAGAGTCTTAGTGTTCATAACAACCTCTTTTTAAAGACTTCATTTTAGTATTGTATTTATTACGCCAATAGTCAAACTAAAATTTAATGGGGAACCTGATCAAAATAAATAAATATCTAGCATACTGATTTACAACTTTATCAACATCTTGAATCATATTACATAATAATAAAATACTTTTTTGTTCTAATTATTTTCCAAAAAGGTAGCTTCAATAGTAGCTACATAAATAAATTTATGATAGAAGTTATGATTAATATTTAATTTATGATTATCAAAACTTAACCAAAAAAAATGTGGAATTCTTGTTAGAAAAAATTGAATTCAAATTACAAATATATAAGGTGGAATGATTTGCATATAAGAAATCAAAAAAGAAGCCTTCAATCAAATAACAAAAAGCCTGAATATTATAAATTATTATAAAAAATATAAATTTTAAACTTGACAATTAATATATATAGAATAAAATATAAGTAAGTTAAAAATAGTTAGGATCTAAAATAGTTATTTCATAATTTATAATTTATAAATGCATAATAAAGAATATATATAATTTATAATAAATTTTGCTTCTGATTAAATTTAATCTGAAAAGATTTAAATTATAAGTAGGATTATTGAAATTATACTCTGTTTTCTTTTAAAATAATGAGAAAAGATTTCATGCTAGTTTTTAGATAATATCATTTAGTAAGGAAGATAAAGATTATTATTATTTTAGTTTCTTTGTTTGATGGAGATCTCGATTGTCGAAAAATAGATATATTAGAATTATAAACAAATAATTTATTTTAGGTTTTTTTCTATAAAAATTATATTTATTTAAAGAGTTTTTCATTAATATTTCTTAGCATAATCTCTCTTTATAAATCTTCATAAATAATAAAAAGAATTTGGAACAACATTAATTAAAATTTATAAGTTTTTTTATCTTGGTGAAATAACCTTTACTTTTTTATCTTTTTAATATTATTAAATAATTCAAATAATAGAATTCACTTTAAAAACTTGTAATAAAATAATTCTGTCATAATTCATTTTGGAAAGAAAATTTCCTAATAGAAATAAACTATTAATTGATGAATTTGCTAATATTTATAATTACTTTTTTTATCTGAAAATAATCTTTTAGAAATTCCATGTCTAAAAATTGAATTTAATATTTTTCAATATGCTCTTAAAAAATATTTCCCATTCAAAAAAATGTTTCATAGCTTGGCAGATTGTCATTTCTGCTATTCAAATGTTCTTCAAATAAATTAAATAATTATAAATAAATATACTGGGCTCTATTATTTTTGAATATTATCCTCCTTTATAGTTTCATTTTTTATTTTATTCTTTGATTTGATCATTCTACGAGTTATCCTTTGTTGTTTCCTAAATTAAAAAATATTAGACATCATGTTTTTAAATTAAAAAATATTAGACATCATGTTTTTAATTTCTTGATATTTGCTTTATAATTCATTAATTATTACAAAAACTTTGAAATACGTTCCTACTAAATAAATCCTAACTTATTTCTATTTATAATTACTGTCTTAAACAATCAACTTTAACCATCCTATCTGCTCATCAATAATTTCCTTATTTTTATTTAAACCAAGGATGGAAGAATTCTTTTGATCTACTGCCATTATCTTATTAAGCTTTGACTTAATTCTAGATAAAAAAATCAGCAAATCTTATTTTTTGTAAAATGTAAATTAAACATCTTTGTTATAAATTTATAAGGTAATATTATTCTCATAATTACAACTATTTTTCATTTATATGTCACCATTTTTCTAATCTCTTTTGAGATATGAGTTAATATTAGAACTTAGAATAATTATTTTTTCATGAAAAATTCGTAATAAGTCACAAAATGATATATTATAATCTAGCGAATAGAGCTCTGTAAATTAAAGTATTAACTCAATAATGGTTATTAGAAATCTTGATTTTACCTCCTCTTTGCCTATATTAAGGATAATGATCGGCTTTCAGTGAAGCTAACTAAAAGAAATTTTATCTTTATTACATAGAGTTGGGCTAATGGCTACCTACTATTGAGGCTATTATCACCAAGATGATGATAAGGATCATAGATTAGTTTTATTCATGCTCTACGCTTTGAAAGTGGAGAGATACTAAATTTATCAGGATTATGTCTAAAAGAAATGGAAGATTCCCCTGAGGAGATCAATGAATTGTATTATACATGAAGGTTTATGTACATGATACTGGACTGGTGTTTTTCAAACTTAAAATCCTAGACTTTTTTACATCAGTATAGCCTGCAGCTAAGAGGTGAGTTCATCTTCTGAGATGGAACAGTAATATCGCTTTAGTGAGTCTGAAAAGGGATAAAATTCACTAATATAATAGGCTTTTAAGCTAAGTGATAATATCAATGATTTGGAGGGCATAATTGATAAATTAGTTTTTTAGGGATATGAGGTAAAATACTTACAATAGAAAACCTTTGGATGGTGTTCTACTGGAATATATCTAAACAACCTAATTTTTTAAAGTGTCTAAAGAACAAAAAGTTAGTTAAGATAAAGATTTATTTGTAAAATTAATAGATGAGTTGGAGGGAGAAATCCTGATAGTAAAGAGAACATTAAAAAGAACATATAATGATATATCTATTGTTGCCTTGGAATGTAGAATTTTATATTATTACAGATGTTTTGGTATAAACTACACCTTAAGTCTATTCATCAAAAATCCCAAGAGTTAGTTTAAAATTGATTTGGTAAATGTAATTAAAAAGTTTGAAATTGATTAATGAAAAGGGAGATAAGTTAAGGAATTAAAAAATAAGGAAGAGTATTTGTTACTATTAATGTTTAAAAGGAGATTAGAAATGAAGATAGGAGAATCACTTATTACTCTTATTGCTTAGAGATTAATAGGGAGGAAATAAGATGATGAAATAGTAGCCAAAATATCTAACTACTAGAGACTTTTCTAACATGTAAGATTTTCTTAATTCTGGAAGTTTTCGATTTACCTTTTGAGATTTAAAATCTAAGAGTTAAGATAACTAATACTTGAGAGAATGATTACTTTAGGAATGCTATATTGCCTTATGTTAGTAGAAATTGAATATCTTATATTTTTTAGATGATGTTAAAGAGTAGTAACAGTAAGAAGGGACTAATAGTTAGTTTCAAATTATATGGAAAGCAACTCAAAGAATTTGTCTGCAGTCAAGCGCAGATTTAGTATTCGGAGGAAGATATAGGAGTTGAGCTATGGTGGCGACATGTTTATGAATAATAGCAGGAGATCTATGAGAGAAATCGTACTTTTAGGAAAAGATTTCTCTTAAAAGCACCATATAATTAAATTTTGGAAGAAACTTTCTGAGTTGAGCTTGTTGCCAAACTATAAAAATATCTTTTACCATTCAGAGGAATTTGTTGAAATTGCCAATTAAGAGGATTTTTCAGTAGTATTGATAGTAAATTCCTTCTCCTTTTATTTGTTATTGTCAAAAGGAGAAAATTTTATTTTAAAAAATACTTAAGTGGTTATGTTCTAAAACATACGCATCAGATAAAGTAATTTATGATGAGTTTGAGGTAATTCAGTGTTGTTAGGGGTGGGATTATTTTTCAAGTCAGCCATGAGCAAGTAGTGAAATTTATGTTCTGATTTTATTCGCAATAAGAAAATGCAAGGCTTTTCATAAATTCAAAAGCGTTTACAATTCAATAAGATTTTTGGATCTTTAGAAAAATGAGAGATAATTTAATATACTTTAATTTCTAAATAATTGAATCTTTATTTTTCTTTATTTATTCAAGTTCTTAGTTACATATGTCTTAGCTATATAAATAGACATTTTAATCCACAATTACATTTTAATTTTATCATTTTAAGAAAATAGATTACAGAAAATTTTTACCAATTATTTAGAAATTATGAAAATTAGAATTTTTTAGTAATATATTTTTAATTCTAAATTTTTTTTCTGGTGCCCAACTATTTTTTATTAATTTGCATTTCTTTTAAATTCATCAAAGTTAAGTATTATAATTGAACCTTATTAAATTCCATTTTAAATCATTTTCATTAAGCAAATTCCTTTTTAGCATGATTTTGTATAAACATTATCTGTTAACAGAATTGTATGCATCAGACATATTAAAGAAGATTAAGTATTTCTTTTTTTTTACATATTTGTCACAAGAACAACATCAACTGCTTTTATATCATGTTAAACTATTTCTATTGATTTTTTTGCTAATTTTCATTCCATTAACTTTTTTAAATGAATATAAATAATCATAGGTTGGAGATCATAATTTTAAGTAATTTAAGGATCATTTTTTGTTAAACAGCTATAATCTTGTATTTAGAGAATATTTATTTTTTATAAAAGCTTTTAGATTTAGATGAATGAAATCAAAGGAAATAGCATTATGATACAAAATTATATTCTTGGTTTCTTTTGTTTTTACTTGATTAATCTTATAGATAT